CATCCCCCCGCTCCCTGTCCCAGGCTTCCCCGGCCGGTCCCCGCTCACCCCGGCTGCCCTTCCCCCTTTCTTTGCCCTCTCTAAGTTTCAAAGCACCTTTTCAGCCGTCGTGAGCCACCTGTGCAGGCGACTGGACCAGCAGCAAACGATGCGGGCTTGGATTCAATCTGGAAACGCTTTAGCCAGGTGTTTAGTTTTGCCTTGTGTGTCCCACATACCGCTCGCAGCATCTTCCACTGAACTGTGCTGAAGCACACGTGGGACTCTGCCTGTTCACATCTCCTCCTCTTGCTCGGTCTACTGCCTTCTCTGTCACTGACATCAATGTGCTTCGTGGCCTAATATTCATGGGATCTTTACTTTCTCCCCCTGCCCCCCCCGTCCTGCTTGATTTGCGGTTTGTTGAACTGTACAGACACCAGTCGTGGTTTCCTCTCTTTGCTCTCACATCAGGGGACTTCTTAAATGATCAGTGTTAAGAAGCGCTGGGTGTTTTGGCAAGGTAGTTGTATTTTTATGTAGATGACTGTACTCAAGTCTCAGGGTGCTTTGGGATCTCGTTGGATGCTGTAAGTGATACAAACGTAGAAAGCAGCAGCTGAGGGGCAGCCCTTGGGGCCTTGCCCCCTTGCCTGTGGGGTTTGCAGTTGTCAGCTGGGTTTCTTCCTCTCTCCCTGCTCTCTTCAGGCTCTGGAAGGTAATTCGGCTGCCACCACTGAGGTGTCATCAGGAGAGCAGAAAATAAGCACGCAAGTGTATAAGGAAAGGAGCACAGTTTGAATTGGAATAATCTGTTATTTGGTGGATGCAGCATGATCAGTGTTACTCTGCTTTAACACAGTACAGTTGAATACATTAATATCAATATAGTGCCAAGTGTTATCACTATGTAATTTTCTCAATTCTTTTTTTTTTAATTCTGAAAAATGTCTAATGTTTTCCCTCATAAAATCCTACAGAGAGAACTAGTTAAAAATATTACTACCATAGTGCAAAGCTGCAGTTTTGTCCAATGCCACTTCTCTCTAAGAGACATCTAAATGTGGTACTGAGCACTCAAGCCAAAACTGTTTTTGTCTGTAAGCGGATTGAATTGCTTTAGTTCATAGCCTGTGAGAACATCTGTTGAGCACCTCTGATGCTAATAACCAGATCTATCCGTTGCTCTTTCCCAACCTCAGTGCTGAGAACATTTCAAGGGAAAACAGAGCTTAGCCAGCAAAATCCCTGGCTGCTGGATTATACTTTCTGACCATTGGCATGTCAATGTAAGAGCTTTAAGTGCTGTAGCTAAAGCTTCTGTTTCTGAGCTGAGGGAACAAATGCACAGATAAATGTGTTTTCAGCTTGGTTATTCATCTCGTGTAATATCATTCTCCTACCTCCTTTTTCTTTCTGACACTGACCCAGTTGTTATTAGAGTTGCCAAAATGATCAAAACAGACTGATCAGAACTCAGTGAGAACACTGATAAGTTGCTGTATCTTCTTCCTTGAAGCCCACTGTCTGCGTATCACTAAAAAGCAAAAAATGCTCTTTGAATCTGTTCATACTGCATTTTCAGGTTCCCTTTGTTCTCAAATACCATAGATGCCCAAAGAGTTGTTTTCTTCAAATTGTATATATTGAGACTCTTTTGCCCTTGATCTACATTTTCCTCTACTCTGTTAAAGAGAACAGATCTATTAATGTTGTGAAACTCATCTCTTGTGTTTTTGGGGTGTGGGCTTTGTCTGCTTGCCTCATTATCAAATATAAACATTATAATGGCTTTTTATTTCTAAAAAATCTTAGAAGCACTTTTCTTTGAATAATCATTTTGATGTCACCTAAGGTGTCAGTACTTCCCAAAGTTATTTGGGAGAGTTCCCCTGTTGGCTGTAGGAAGAGATCTAGGGTGGCTAAGTGACTCGTGAACTAACTTGTAGGCATGATAGTAGCATAATGTAAGCCTGTGAAAACTAACTTTTCGAGTCTGTTTTGGTAGCAGTACAGTTGTAAAGACTGCAGGGGACACTGGCATAGCAGAGAACGAACTGCTGGAACTGTAACAAAAAAATCTGGAGATAAATTTCAACAATGCTGTTACTAAGGGAGTAAGGTTTGTGGTGAAACAGTGCCTGTTTATTAGCTTCACCAACGCAGGGAAAATATCAGATTTTGGCATAAATCTTCAGGTCTGAAGACTGGCTGGTCGGCTTAAAATCTATCTTTCCCAGCTGCTACAGCCCAGTGTCCTAAAGCCTTTCCCTCACAGTTAACCTATGAGAAGATGCTGCCTCTTTTCAAGCACTGCCTGCTGTTCTATCCACAGCACCTAAAGCAGCATTACCACTGCACGCCGGGCTACAGTCCTTTCCCAGTTTGCTTTAAAGGCTCACTCAGTCCTGCTGATACCCGTGCTCCCCTCTCTGGAGCCCGAGGACGTTCCGTGCGCTCGGGCAGCCCCG